GGTGGTGCCGTTGTCGAGGAAGCGTCGGCGGTGCAGCCGATTGCAGCATTGCGCCAGGGCCGTGGTACGCGCCTGTCGTTCCTCGGCGGCGGCGCGACGACCGGCCGCAAGCGTGACAGCATCCACATGTCAAACAGCGAGAGCACGATTCACGAGACGTCGCGCAAGAGCAGCGTTGGTGCCGCCGAGATGGATTCGGTGAGCGAGCACAGCCGCAGCCGGAGCAAGGAGAACGCGAACCCGAACGCAAACGCGAACGCGAATGCGAATGCCGCGAACAACCGCCGGAGCTTCTTCCGCCCGAACGGCAGCGACAAGACGCCGCCGATGCCACAGTACACACCCAGCATGGAGACGACGATTGTCGGCGGCGCCCAGTACGGGCACAGTAGCACCAACGGGAACGGGACGCCGCGGCCGACCAAGAGCGGCAGCAGCGGCAGCAACAACTACTACACCACGAGCACGAGCAACAACCGGGCCCCTGCCGAGGCCAACAAGCCAAAGAGCGGTGCGGGCGAGTGGGTGGCGGAGCTGTCGCGCAAGAGCTCGGACCTGACCTCGATGGACCGCAAGCGGAGCATGAGCAGCAGTGCCGGCAACGGCCAAGGCGTCAGCAATGGTGTGGGAGGCGAGGTGGACGACCCCGGGCCGGCCAAGATGGGCGGTGTGCGGAAGCGGCTGAGCATGCTGAAGCTGGGCAAGAAGTCGAGCAAGGCCAACGGCTTTATGGGGGCCGTTGATGAAGAGTGATTGCATTTCCCTGATTTCCAGATTTTCCCCTTTGTCTTTTATTTTCGTTGCATTTCCACACTCATTCTGTTTGCTTTGCGTATATCCCTTTCCTTCAAAAATTTCGTATATGTTCCTTATAACTTTCATGTATACCAACCTTTCTATTCTGTTGTTTTTTACTTCATTTTCCTGCTCTTCCTGATTATTTCTTCTCCTTTGTCTTTTTATACTGTACCTTCAAACCAAGTATACTTTTGCAGTCCTTGTTTTTTAGCCATTTTGTTGTCGCTATCCTGTCGCTGGTGTTTTCGGATACCTTGCATTGCCACTTTTTGTTCGCATTTTCAGACATTCTAGCCAAAATCACGAAGCCATATTTTGGGATATGATTTTTTGACGTGTCGGTTCGGTTGTTCAAACATGTTCTTCTCGTTGTTATATGGATGATGGTACAATATGGTATCTATTGTCGTGACTCGATGCGACCGTATCCTATGCTAGTACGTGGTATATTACTCCATAGAATAGCTGTGCAAAAGTAGCTGCTATATAATTGTGAAGTGCTGCTGCACCCACGAAATGCCACGAACTAGAGTTAGAATATCTGTTTCAGCACGGCCACAGCCAGCGCCAGCAGAACACCAATGAGCGCCACAGCAGCAAATAGAAGGGAGCCGATGGATACAGACGGCGTTGCGGTGGTCGTGCCGTCCGCCACACGGTCTACAATCTCGTCGAGGATGCCGTCCAGCCGCGCGGCCATCTGCGTGTCGGCAAACTGGCTGCGCACGCGTGTGCGGCCGGCGTCGGCCATTTTCTTGCGCTGGGCGTCGGTCAATGCGCCGGGGACGTCGGTGCCCGGCAGGACCTTGGCCATGACGTCTGTCCAGGCGGCCACGTCGTCGGCCGAGCGCAGCCAGCCGGTGGTGCCCTCGACGACGGTCTCGGTGGGCCCGCCCGAGTTGCAGGCGAGCACGGGCAGGCCGGCGAGCATCGCCTCGAGGGGCACGATGCCAAAGTGCTCGTTGGCGGGCGTGTAGACAAGCAGGCGGCACGAGGGGCTGTGCAGAAGCAGCGACTTGAGGGCGGACGGGACGGACAGCAGGAACAAGACCTGGACGTCGGCGGGGATGCTGAGAGCGGTGACCATGGTGCGTGCGGTGGCGGTGCGCAGGCCGAGCTCGGTGGCCAGAGCGTCGAGTTCACGGTGGTAGCCGACGTTTTCGGCAACGCGGTTGTCGTAGCCGCCGGCGACGACGAGCCGCCTGGGGGAGGTGCCGGTGGGCAAACCGGCAAACGCACGGATGGCCAGACCAATGTCCTTTTTGCGCTCAAAGCGGTTGATGCTCAAGACAAACGGCAGACCCTGCCACAGGTCGACGGGCTCGTCCCTGTTCTGCTTCGTCGTCTTGTCATTGCTGTTGTTGCTGGCCCGCTCCTGCTCTAGTGCGTCCTCCTGCTTGATGTCGATGCACGGGTAGACGACGCGCAGGCCGTTGTCGTCCTCAGCCACCAAAGGGTCGATGCCCACCTTGACCTTGGCCGCCAGCCGCGGCCAAGTCGCCGTCACCACCGACTTGGTAAACCGCGAGTTGACGGCCACTGCGTCGGAGAAGCCCATGCTCCACTGCTCCAGGGCGTCAAATGGCACCCGGTACAGCCGCTTCCACCACTTCTGCCGGCCCTTGGCCAGGAGCAGGTCCGGGAAATGGCAGTAGAAGAAGATGGGCGTAGGTGTTGTCTGCTGTGCAGCGCCACCATGGGCGCTGCCAAGGCTCCGCAGCAAGGGCAGTCCGGCCGACAACTGGTCGACAAAGTACGCCGTGGCGCCCAGCGCCGCCAGCTCTCCCGTCAGCCATATCTGCAGCAACAGATGCACCTGGCGGGCAATCGCGCAGAGGATCGCAAAGCGGCCGAGGATCGACGCCGGCACCACGTTGCCGCCACGCACGCGCACGTCCAACACACCCGTGCCCGGGCGCACCTCGTCAAAGCAGTGTGCCGGGTCGCAGTGGCTCGTAAAAATGACCACCCGGTGGCCGCGGTTCTGGAGGCCGACGGCGGCGTCCACAACAAGCCGCTCCGCACCGCCGATGCCGAGGTCCGGGTGGAAGAAGACGACCGTCTTTTTGGGCGATGACGGTGATGCTGGCGATGGCGAAACGACGGACTTGGCCGATGCCCCTTTTGATGACTTGCCCGCCATGATTGTGTCTGGTGGTGCGGAAGAGGGTGTGGGCACGGGGTGGCAGAGTGGTGATGCACCAAGACGTGTAGTTTAGGAGCTTGGGTGGAGCTGACGTGACAGGTTGCAGATTGCCTTTCTGGGCCAGCTCCAACACTGTGCGCAGTGGGGACAGTGCCTAAAATTGTCCATAATATCACTGTGTTGCACTGTATTGATAGCGTGTTGCTCTTCCATACAGCTCAATAGCTCTACACGTATCTAACTCCATACATAACACAGCTATCAGACACGTCTTGTATTCTTTGCGTCTTTTGTGACAAGACAGAAATCAAGAATAGGTTATTCTGCTCGCCAGGTACTGGGAACTTGACAAGTGTGAAGAGCACGAAAGTTAAGCGCCTCGAGTGTTTCTTGTCGAATAATGCTTGTCTGTGTGCTCTTGCATTGTGGAGCTCCCTGCAAAGACGCCTGTAGCTAGTACGGAGTTCGCCGGTAAGGAGTTGTAGTATTGCTTCCAGGAAACACCCCACGCGACACCCATCGGCGCCTGTTTCTTGGCCGATCGTGATGGAGATCGAACGAGGGGTCTTTCAGTCCGCAAAAGCAAGATGCATGCGCGTTTGCCAGGACCCTGGTCTGTGCTTCTCGACGAGCAAACATTCTGTCTAATTCTGTCTTTGTGCCACGCCAGACGTTCAAGAGGCTGGCTGCTGCTGTCTATCCACCGTCCAGCCATCGTCGATTATTTCCACTCGACTGCCGTTTGTCGAGTTTTCTCTTTTCCCGGGCCCTCCTCTTTTTTGCTTTTTTTTTTCGGTCCCGTTAATTCCTCTCGCTCGCGATTCCGTTTGTCTACAGACGCGGATCCCCGCTGCAACCGTGCTTGGCGTCTGCGCGGTTGTATTGAGTGTGTCCAGTTGTCGGGATGTGTGCCGAGAGGTCCAAGAGCCTGGAACAACGCCGCTACTGCAGGTTGTTTGCCACTGCGAACAAGCCTCGACGCGTTTAAAGAGGATCTCGACGCGTCAACATTCACAACCGCAGTTGCATCACAAGCGCGTCGTCGAATTCTGCTTGACATCGGCGTTTCATGTTCCCTATCTGCAAATGTTAGAAAAAGAAGACGCTTCTTGTTTAAAACGACGAGGGTCGACCTTTGAGCTCAGTTGCCTTTCATGTTCTCTTCCTTCCATCCCATTGCTTCGTCGTCTTTTTTTTGCTTTCATTTTGCACCGACAACTCACCTAGACCTCATGCCAATGAACAAGGTGCATCTTGTGGCCCAGACCTGCTCCTTGCCAGCCTTTTTGTGGACCTAGCCGCCAACAACCACTGCCGGTACGACTGGAAAACGGGGAACACGGAGAAGAAAAGAGAAAAGAGAAAAGAGTGATAGAGGGAAAAGATCTCCTCTGAAAGCGTCGCGATCTTGACCTTGTCCCTCTTTCCAAAAGGGAGCAGCCCAGTACAAGAAAGGAAGCGTCGACGCCTGGCCTTTCTCAACCTTCGCTCTTGCCCTGCTGCACAACAAATTGCACGCCCGTCCCTTGCATCTATCTGCTGCTTGTGGCGTTCATTCCTTCCGTCGTACCACGTTCTTGCCATTTCCACGTTTTTCTCCCTTGATGTCCTCGTTCCTGCCATTCCAGTGAAAGAACCGCACATTTTTGCACGGCATCGCTCCTTCCTTGACAGACCAACTTGTGCTTCTGCTGCTCCTTCCTTCTGTGACCACGCCTGTGTTCTTTCCCTCTTAGTCTTTCTCGTCCTTGCGTCCTGCCCTGCCATTCCGGGAATTGGTCGCTTCTCTCACTCCCCCACGACTCTGAATTGCTTCTTTATTCTCTCCGTATCTCGCTCTCCTTTGCCGTTGTTCAAATTCCATCCACACTGTCTCTTTGTATCCGTGGAGAGACTTGTATTTTATTTCATCCCTTTAGACCGGTGCGGTCCGGTTCGCTCCTTGGTATCCTTGCAATCCTTGAAGCCCAGTTTTCTTTCGCCCTTTGTATTGTCTGTTGGTAGCTGTTACTGTTTTTTTTTTTTTCTTTTCTTCTTTCGTTTCTCGATCGACAACATGGCGGGTTATTCCGTGGAGGCTACGCCGCCTACGACCGCCGACCGCAAGGAACGCGTGCTCGATCACCAGCACCCTCTGTCCATGTCTCCATCTCCATGGGCCGCGGCCGCACCGCCCACGCCTCAGGATTCACTCGCATCACCCTGCCAGAGCCCTCCGACATCGCCGTCGCTGAAGTTGGCCGAACCCGTCTCGCCCTCCCCTGGCACACTCGACGAGGATGACAATGTCCTCATGCATGATAGCGGCAGTGCCGCCAAGACGACGTTGATTAGACGCTCAACGCCGACATTGATCACAATTGGCCCCAAAGTTGCCCGTGAGAACCGAATGCAGAACTGGCTGTCCGAGATACCGCCTCCTGTGTCGCCACAAGAACGCTACATCCAGGGCCTCAATCCGGCCGTCGACCACCCGCTGCACCCCCGGCCGCTCCGTGCACGGGCACCCCGCCAAGCACCGTACCTGGGCAACACCGGTGTGACCGGGGACGACGACGCGCTCTCTCGTTCGTGTGAGAAACTGGCTATTGACGCGTCCGATAAGGAGAATGCCATGGTCCGCAACAGACTGCGGTCTCTGGGCAGCCCGCCTCAGATCACGCCAACCAACGTGCTGGCCGAGAGGCCTGTCTTGGGAACGAAGAAGAGACTTCTGACAGAGGTATGAATGTGCATCCAAACCAAAACCCCACGTGGCCCTGCATCTGGGATTGCTAACATTGTTTCTACAGGATGCTGGTGACCTCTCTGCACGGAAGCGGACGAGACTTCTGGACCCTGTACGCCGCTTCTCGCAGCGCCTGTCTTCATCGCTTACCATGTCTTATGGGGTGGCCGAGGAGAAGCGGGACAGTGAGGACCTGTCTCCCGAGGAGGTGGCGAAGCAAAACGAAATGCTCTACAAGTTCACCCATCTTAGCAAGACGCCATCTAGCAGCATCCGCTCGTCTCTGTCCAAGCGTAGTGGTACCTTCCGTTCGCAAGGGTCCAGCACCATACGCCGTATCATGTCATCTAGGTTGGCACCTGCTATGCCACCGCCTTCACGCGATGACCAGGTCGGATTCTGGGCAGAAGGGCGGCCTGATATGATTGTCAATGTGGCTTTCATTGGCGACGCTCGCGTCGGCAAGACGGCGCTGATCAAGTACGTCCCCCTGGTGCTTTTCAGAAAGTACAAGAGAAACGGCTGCTAACTGACTAGGCGCCTGGTGTATGGAAATTTCCCCCAGACATACGCACCGAGCTCCATCCAAGAGGAGACGATCCGTATCATGGTCGACGGCGTCCGTGTCCAGTTGAACCTCTCGGAAGGCGGCAGCGCTCGTGATCCTTGTGAGCCAAGCATTCTAGCACTCGGCTGGTTCAGTGTCGTGGTCCTCTGCTTTGACATTGGCCACCACGGCACGCTCCATAGTCTGCAGAAGGTAAGCAGCATACACGGCCGCCACAGAAAGGCACACGCTCACCGATTCTGATGTAGTACCGTAATGACATTGCCATGTACGAAGAGAACTCGGTTCTTGTGCTGGCTGGACTCAAGAAAGACGCTCGTCGCCGTTTGCCCCCTCTTCAGTTGACCTTTGTTGAGGACGCCGTGCAGGTCACACCGGAAAAGGTGAGAGATGGCTGCTTTTGACCCCCCAATTCCGAGTTGTCGTCGTGGATTCTAACACACACGGCAGGGAATGGACGCAGCCCTGAAGCTGGGCTGCACAGAATACTTTGAGTGCTCGTCTCTCGCCTCCTGTGAGGGCATCGACGACCTGTACGACTACATTGCTCGGGCCGGTGTCGAAGTCCAAAAAATCCGCAGCAAGACGATATCGCGCTTCCGCTTCGAGCGCACGGTCGATAAGGGCATGGCCAAGATCGCCGAGGGCGTCCGGTCGATTTTCACTTTTAACGGCAGCTCCGCTTAGAGCTTGTCCTGAGCATGCTACATAGCTGGCCACACCGGTCCAAGTCAGACGAAAACGGCATGATGCGATGCTATTGTACGATGTACGAGGTATATATGATCGAAAACGGAACACGACAACAAAAAGACAACGAAAAGACAAAACGACGGAAAGGGAAAAGGAAAGGAAAACAAAAAGGAAAACAAAAAGGATTGGGAACGGAAAAGGTCAAGGTACTGTTGCACACTGGTGTATTGGAGGCATTAATTGTATTATGATATATTATTTCTTGGGCTGGATTGGGATTGTTCCTCAAACTTCGGATCGGTGCATGGCCACAAAAGATGTCCTGTGACGCAAAATGGCTCTCATGCACTGCTATAACAGCAGAGTCGAGACCAGTATCGCACCGCGGAACATTGACGGTTTGTATTTTTACAACTGTATTGGAGTTTAACTGTCGAGATACGACAACACAATTTGGTTCATATTTATGTACTTTCAAGCATGCACATTGTTGTTCGTCGGAACAGTGAACAGGTGTCATCATGCCGGTTATCTATGTATAGTCCTAACCTAACGCTCTAAAGTGATGATACTATTGTGTCTCGATCAACGCCCGACAAACAATGCATCCCCAAAAATGCAAGTTAAAAATTAACGTGGCAATAAATCAAACACTCGCAGGATAAAAAGGAGTAAATCGTGGCCAAAATCTGTTTAAAAGAAAACAACATAAGACAAGCAACAGAAGAGCATTCGGATCCGGTCTGTACTTTTACAGGTAGAGGGACTGAGCAGCCACAATGCCGCGCTTGATCTTTTCCAGACTCTCCTCAAACTTTTTTGTAATCTCCTCGCTGCCCATCACCTTGCCGGCCTCGGCCATCTGGCGCAACAGCTCTTCGAGCCGCCGGAACAAGCGCACCAACGAGCCCTCGTAGGCGTTTGTCATTTTGCTGCGGTGTGTCAGTGCTTGTGTCGCGGATAGAAAACGAGGGAGACGGGGGAACGGGGTGCGAGAGCTGAAGCTTACCAAATGTCTGCAAACGAGGCGCCCTTGGCCCACGCCAGGACCGTCTCCATCAGCTGCCACTTGAGGCTGGCCACGTACTCCTCCTCGTTGATGTCCAGCTTGCTCTCCTGGCTGACCTTGGCAATGATCTTTGCCTGCGACTTGATCTCGCGCAGCGGCTTGGCCAGGTCCTCCTTCAGATCGGGCGCCTCCACCTTCTCGTCAAAGAGGAAGCACGTCATGACCGACGCCACCACCTCGGGCGACAGGTCGTTGAAGAAGCGGTTGAACAGCAGCTCCGACAGCAGCAGCTCGTGGCCCTCGGTCGACGAGATCTGGCACGCCACGCGGGCCTTGAGCTGCACTACGTCGTCCTCGTTGATGAAGCCCAGGCGCCGCAGCACCGTCTTGCGCGACTTGAGCTCGTCGAGCTGCGCGATGCTGTGTGCCTGCGCAATGGCCTTCTTCTTCTCCTTGATCTTCTCGCCCAGCTCCGCCTTGTGATGGTACTTTTCCCACAGCTCCGGCAGGATGGGCGAGCCGTGCAGCGGATTCGCGAGCAGCTTGGCCTCGAGCAGCTCGATCTTGCGGATCAGCTTCTTGAACGACTCGTCGTTGATCTTCATGTTCTCGATTGGGTCGAGGACCGGGATGCCGTCGGGGAACCGGCGCTGTACCTCGCGGATGACCTTGCCGGTCCGGTCCTTGCCGGCCGACTTGGTCACATTGTCCGGCATAAAGATGCGCAGCTTGCTCATGGCGACAATGGTCGACAGCAAGCAGGGAACGATCTCGACACGGGCGTCGGTCATGTTGCTCTTCTCCTTGTTGGTGTCCTTGTCCTCCTTTTTGTTGGACGCCTTGGACGCCTTGGAGGCTTTGGACGTCTTGGAGTTCTTGTCGTTGCCGCTCGTGTTGTCGCCGCTGCCGTTGTCCTCGCTCCCGCTCGCGGTGCTGCTGTTGGCATTGTCGACCCACGGCACGGCACCGGGCGCCACCTCGCCCAGCGGGAAGCCGGGTGCGATGCTTTGTGCGCTCTTGCTGTCCGAGATGAAGAGCGCCACGTCCACGCAATACGACTCTTGCGGTGGAACCTCGTCCTCGCCACGCTTGGGCGCACGGCGCTGAGAGAAGCTCAGCACAGCGCCCCAGCCAAAGTCCTCGCCGCTGCCAGGCGTCTTGATGTGCACCAGCCGGCCCGGCTGCAAAAACGGCAGGCAGAAGTTGGGGTGCTGCATGACGAGGACCATGTCCTTGCGGTACTCTTCGATGAGCTGCCGAAGTTTGTAGTACTCCTTGACCGTGTTCTCGTCCGGAATGATGGTGCTGTCACGCTCGTGCTGCAGCGCCTTGAGCTCCTTCTCAAAGGCGGGCACGCTGGCGGCATTCTGGAACTGGAAGAAGCAGCGTTCCAGCATGTACTCGGGCGACACCGTCTCGATACGTTGCAGGTTCAGGATCATGTTGTAGCCGAGGTGGAAGGCCGAGTTAAGACGATCCTGCTTGCCGGCGACAATGGCCTTGGCCGTTTCGGGCTCGAGCTTGTCGTCCACCATCATAATGACAATACCGCGGTCATCGAGGCCACGACGACCGGCACGGCCAGACATCTGGATGTACTCGGACGACGTGAGCGGCCGCATGGAGACGCCGTCGAACTTGCGCACCTGCGTGAACACGACCGTGCGGGCGGGCATGTTCAGGCCGATGGAGAAGGTTTCTGTCGCGAACAGGACCTTGATCAAGTTCTCCTGGAACAGGATCTCGACAATCTCTTTGAGGATGGGCAGCAGGCCCGAGTGGTGCACACCGATGCCCTTGCGAAGCAGCGGCAGCAGGTGCGTAATCTGCGACAGCTCACGGTCGGTCTCGGACAAGGTGTCAATGGCGTTCTCAAAGACCTTGGTGACCAGGGCCTGCTCAGACTCGTTGTTGAAGTTCATGCCGGAGATCTTGAGCGCCAGCATCTCGCACTCGCGCTTGCTAAAGTTGAAAACAATCACGGGGTGGAAGTTCTTCTTCATAATCATGCGAATGATCTTGTAGATGTCGGATGTCGACTCGTTTCCGCCGCCCTTGTTGATCTTCTTGTTCTTGCCGCGGCCGTTCTGCTTGGCGTTGGGGTCGGCCGGATCGGCGCCCTTGTTCTGCTCCACCAGCGCCATGGCGGTGTTGAAGTTCTTCTCCTTGAAGACACCGCGCTCGTCCACGACGAGCAGGATGCCGTCGCCGCCGGCGGGGAAGCAGTAGTTTTGCAGGGGCGTCGGACGGAAATCGGTGTACACGACGTGGCACGCCTGGCGATGGATCTTAGCTATCCACTCGGCGAACTGGAACGCGTTCGGAATGGTGGCCGACAGGAACACGTAGCGGACCTTGTCGGGCAGCAAAATAATGGTCTCCTCCCAGACGACACCGCGAGACTTGTCCCGCATGTAGTGGATCTCGTCAAAGACGACCCAGGCCACCTCTCGCATAATCTCGGAGCCGCGGTACAGCATGGACCGCAGAATCTCCGTGGTCATGACGAGGCAGCTCGCCGTGGGGTTGATGGTGATGTCGCCCGTCATCAGGCCGACGTCGCCAAACTCGCCCATGAAATCACGGAACTTTTGGTTGCTGAGCGCCTTGATGGGGCTTGTGTAGATGACACGCTGGTTGCGCTTGAAGCACTGCGCGATGGCGTACTCGGCGACGACCGTCTTGCCGGCACTGGTGTGCGCAGACACCAGGACACTCTCCTCGCGCTCGATTGACGAAATCGCCATGCTCTGAAACGGGTCGAGCTCGAAGGGATACTCGCGCGCGGGCTCGGCGGGCCGCTTATGCTCGGAGAGGGGAACGTATTCATAGTTGAGGTCGGGCGGGAGGGCCACCTGGTGCTGGATGTTGTGCTGCAGCACGAGCGACTCGGTCTCCTTCTGGGGGGCAAAACCAGACGCCGGTGCCACCTCACGCGACTCAGCCGTCTGGAAGGTGTCGGTCAGCACAGGCTCGGCCTCGCCGTCCTTTTTGCGGCGCTTGTTCTGCTTGTCGACGCCATTGCCATCGCCGTTGGTACCCTCGTCGTCCTCGTCGTCGTCCTTGTCCTCTTCGTCGTCCTCGTTCATGGGAACATCTTCGGCCGCCGAGGAGATATCGGCGTCGTTGGACGTTTCCCCGATTGGGATCGCCGGCACATCCTTGGCGGCTTTGTTGGCTGTCTCGGCGGACACCTCGGAGAGGCCCACGGCCTTGCGCTTGCGGCTGGCGTCGCCAGGCGTTGTGGCGCGGCCCCCCTGCGGCTGTGACGGCCCAGATGGCGGTTTGTCAAAGACCTCAAACAGCTCGTCGATATCCATTGTCGATCCGTCTGCTGAATGGTTGCTCCGCACGCGGCGGGCGGGTAAGGGAATGTACAATGTACACAGGCACACCGGCAGCCACTGGAGATCGTCGCGCGGTTGGTGGGCTAGAGGTGAAGTGCTGTTGGTGCAAAATAGCAACGGTTGGGTGAAAAGGGGAGAGAAGGGGAAGATGCCCGACTCTTTCCCTGGTGGTGAGAAAACAGAAAACGGCAGGCGTCACTCTCGAAGTGTCCTGGGCAGGAACGATGGAGGGCGAAGCGAACCGATGCACTGAACGAGAAAAACTAATAACTGGGGACGGGAAGGCGCTGGCCAGGGAAAATAAAGTGGAGCAATGCACAGAATTCTGCCACCCAAAAGCTCATCGCGCGGAAAAGGCGGTTAGTTGGATCATGTGATGTGATCAGTCAGCCAATTGTGGAAAGCGCGAGTGACGTGCACGGGCCACCTTCCACTGCAGCGCTGGGCAGCCGGAAAAACATGGAACAGCGGGAAGGAGACGGCACTCACGCCACTACGGCACCCAGTCACAGCCGCGCAAAAGAGATCACTGCAAAAAACCGAGCTCTTTCGAACCTCGAGCTTTCCCACCATCTACACCCCAACAGCCATCCACCATCGCCGTCACAGACCATCACCACTCCGTCGCCAAGGTTCGT